TTCCAAAGTGTCGTTTGTCTTTAGATCTGTTTTCCTTCTTCCTTCCTCGGCTGGCTTCAATTTCAAATAGACTTCCGTCAGCTGAAAAACGGTCAAAACATTTTTCGTTCAGCTATGACCGCTCCTACTGAACGAATAGAGCGAAACTTTCGGCGACGCTTGTCGTTTATTCAAGAAAACCGACGAGAAAAACGAGAAGCCCTCGGCTTGCTTGATGAACTCGATGTTGATATCGCCGACGAGAAGCCAAAAACGGTAACAACTTTCTTAAAATTTGAACTTATATCTAAATAAACTGTTTGGAGTTGACCAATCGCTGTTCGTGCTGTGCCACAAACAAAAGGCCGATTCCACGGTAAAATGCCACTCATTCAAAAGTAAGATAGAGGTATTCAGTGACGCAGCGATGATGAAAAACCAAGAGAAACGGATCAAGAACACAAGAATTGGAATCTTTTTGCTCGTTTATTTACGTACTGGGACAATCTCATCGGGTTGCCCGCTTGTACGTGAACGCTCCGCTCTGCTAAAGGCTAGTGTTCGTGGCTATAGTCCGACGGCGAGGGATAACTAGCCGGAGTTCGCTGCTGGAGCGTCACGTGCGCGCCTGCACCGGTGGCCATCCCTTTCTAGTGGGTATACGATCACCTCTCCAACCTTCAATTCATCATGGAATCCTCCTTTAAATGGGTCGGAGTGCCTTCCAGAGCGACTTTTACTTGTAACTCAAAGAAATGCCATAAGAAAAGGTAAAGCTTTCATCCTCTCGAACAAGTTTCGCGCGATTAATCAGCCTAGGAGCTATGGAAAGTTGATTGACTCTGATGAGAAGTTTGTCTCCTGAATCAGGCATTCACTGACACTCCGATTTTTCGCTGCTCCTTCTTCTGTACCGCCTAGAACCGCTACAAATGTGTCAGTGTCACCTGCTTAACGTACCAAAATCAATTACACATACCGTTGTAGTGTTTAAAAGCTTTGTTTGAATGTTTTATATGAGAGGCACAACCGGCAGAATCCCGTGAACGATATCCTTCAATGTGTAGGTCAGAACCTCAGGCAATCACAGATGTCGCACTCTCTCGCGTAGAAATTGTCCGACAAGAGCGCTAAAGCCTTGCAAAGTTAGCTGCAGCAGCTGCAATTTTCCCCATCCGCAGCAGGCTGTTGTCTGGCGCCCTCTCATCTGTTGCGCTCTCTCGCCTCATACTCTCCTCTCCGCGCTCAGTCTCTCATTGCCTTAGCACAGCCGCATTACGAAGGTGAGTAAGCCCTTAACCTAAGCGTTTTCGACGGATTCTTTTTTTTTCACTGGCACGGTCATTTCGCATTTGTGCGCTAGAACCACACCAGTTTGGCCATGGTAGATAGATACTTTGATTGTACGATTCAATCGGTGGAGTAATTCCGCTCAGAAGCAGGACGTCGTGAGAGTGTCACCAATCTGAGGCTGCAAACCTCGAGAACTTACTCCTGTAGAGAGTCTGATCTCACTCCCTGAATGGCAGATGTGCTTTCAAGCCAAGTGTTTGTTTTGGAACACTTGGCTCGTTCTCGGCTTTTTTATAGAACAAGTTTTGGGTTATCTGAAAAGAATCTTGCGTAGGCCGATACATTATTCAAATAAGTATGTGTTTAGCAAAAAATCAAAACATTATTCAAGGCTTTTTTATAGCTTTTTTTCAGCGCTCTTCTCGATACAAATCCGCCAGTGTTTGTCTGCCGATGATCTCAACAATGCCAGAACGTTCCAGTACCGTATCCGATTTTCCCCGTCCCACTGTTCACAGATGTGGAGGCACTTCTCGTTTCATCGTCGAGCGAAACTGTCAACCGGAATCGCTTGACGCTTTTGAGCTGCAAAGCATAAGGTGGGGAGCATTCGCCATAAAACTACTAGGATTAGGTTGCTTGCAAAAATAATAAGCTAAGTAGTTGAACAAAATGACTTATGGATCAGCAGTGTGTTGGGCTTTTTGTGGTTTCGAACCGAGTTCTGGCACTAAGTAATCACTACGGAGAAGGAAGCCGCTTTATACTTACGAAAACACCGACTTTTACATTGCGTAACTGAAAGTTATTGCGTAGGTACGGATCAGACAGCACAGTGTTTATAGAGGTACGAAGAGGTGTGGCGAAACCAATAGGGCTCGAAAGCGAGGTAAGCAAACCAGCCCTTTTGGCGTTTCGGCTGGGACCGTATGCTGAATGTTGGGGAGGGGATGGGGTCCCCAACGGTCGACGGTTTACTTCAACTCGGTTGGTACGATAGGAGAGTACTGACGCAAGTGGTGCAGCTGGTCCAGCAGCTCCGCCAGAAGGGCTGGTTTGCTCACCCCAGGACTAAGCCTTGGAGAGGGGACGGACCCGTCCTCTCTTTAAGGCTTAGTTCTGAGGTAGGCACCAAATTGTGGCGGTTCTAAGGACCGAGTTGAAGTGGTCCGTCCACCGTCGGGGACTCCATCCCCTCCCCAACATTCAGCATACGGTCCCAGCCGAAGCGCCAAAAGGGCTGGTTTGCTTACGTCCTCGAAAGCTTGTGCAAAGAAGTAACTGTGGTCAGATAGCGTGGATCGTACGTGCTCTATTTTCTTGATTTCTTATTACAGATTACGGGGTCTGTCGACGTCTGAAGTCTTTCACGAACCTCCCGCAATGTACGTGTACCGGGAGCGACCTGCTCCAATAATATACCGTGAGTCGTTGTTGATTTGGATAAAATAGTCTGCAAATCATGTTCCAATTATAGGTGCTCGCAAGACATCCGATCTACAATCCTGTACAGCATTCATAAAGAAACGCAAGCACACGTTGTGTGCATGGACGTTCGGAATCGTGGCCATTGCTCTGAATGACAACCATTATAGCGTTGCAGTTCAAGGGTGACTTGAGCTGATTACAGCCAAGTGTTTACAAGACTGACACTTTGAGAAATGGTCTGTTACAGCCGCTTCTGTTACGGTTTCTTCTTCTTCCTGCTCAACCTCAGGAGCTCATATGTATCTGCCAGACCACTTGGAATAGCTTGACCAAGGTTACATTTAGAGTTTGCGGTTCTTGAAATGGCTGAAAATGCAGTTTGAGGGGGTGGGGGCAGCGGCTGACCATTGTGTTCTCAAACTGGGGGCAGCTGATAAGTACCGGTGTAGAGTGGACATAACCCTGAAGTACTTCCACACTTTGGACTGAAGTGGTTCAAGGAAACAGTCCTGAACCAGGGAAATGGATATCCTTGCCTCGTCCCAAGGGTGGAGGAGCTCCAGGGTGGATGACCTGGTGCAGAAAAGGATGGGATGTGGGCAGGTAGTGTGGAATGTAGGACATCCACCGGTCCTTATCAAAAGTACGCTCGAAATGAGTCGTTCACTTATTATCTTATCCGTAGTGTTCGATAGCCCAAAGAACTGCTCTCTAGTACTAAGGATAAGATAGCACGGTGGGCCCCTCTTTCAAACCGGGTTCTCAGTTCTCACCTTTTGAAGTGTTCTAATCTCACTTTTTGAAATGAAGGGCACTTGTGAGCACATCTTGTTTTTGTCGGGCGACATGTTTTACCTCTGTCTTCAACGTTTACTCTCTACAGGGTCTCCAGAAGGTCTGGAATCGTCCTTTTTGACTGGATATCAGCCTTTCAAGAATTTAAAATATTTTAAAACAGTATTGTCTCGAATTCGGTGATGTGCCATTCTAGTGTAAAGGTAGGAGATTCGATCTCAAGACAGCACACTTGTTTTGCGGCATGTTTACCCTGCTCAACGTATACCCTCTACAGGCTCCCAAATCTGAATCGTCCTTTTTGGCTGAATAGTCAGCTTTTCCGAAAGAATGTGTAAGAATTGCTTTCCCAAAACTTGGTTGTTGACGAAGATTGCGGATTAAGGGATGATTTTTCCTTAGGTAAAAGGACTGAGGCTGCTATGTATTACTGCATTCGTTGCTGCCCTGTTGTTCACTGGCCTTACTTTAATTTCTGCCATTCATTGTTCAGTTAGCTTTGTGTTTTCCACTATTCTCCAATTGGTATATGAATACTTCGTCAATTGTACATTGAATTTGTTATTTTTTGGTTTGAATAAAAGGGAACTTCCATTAACGATATGCGGCCGGCCATAAAAAAAGACAGCACACAATACTAAGTGAAGCAGCGTTAAGGCACGGAATCGCGTTTTGGACTCTTAAGAAATTTCCCACTTGATTAGGTAAAGCAGGACCTAACCAGAAAAGTCTTGGCACTGTCGGGATTGAAAATTGTGCAACAAGGGAGTTAATGCCTTCAATTGACCGCTGCGACCGCTGCCATTCTTATCAATCGCCGCATACATGGTGTTTACTCCCTACTACGTACTCTCTCGCCGTTTCCTCTCGCAGTGCTACTGCGCTCCGCCAATACACGACGCATTAGGCAAAAGGATATCAGTGTTTAAGTGGTCTTTTTGACTTCCCTTCTCACACAACGTTCCTAGCTCGACCTTCTCCAGGTCTACTAGTCTCTCACCAGCGAAATCCCGCGCTTAGTCCCCGCTGCCTTTCTGGCAATCGCTTCGGGCAAGACAGCACGCTATGACGTCGGGAGAATTATACAGTAGCAGGTCCAAAGTATTCGCAGAACGGTGTTTCTCACTTCTCTTTTTTGCCAGAAAAAGAACCATGGTTACCTCAAAAAAATTTCTTCTTTTGAATATCCTGATTCTTTGAGAATTGTGGATGTAAAGACACTAGGGAACATGTCGACTCATAGTATGTCAATCTTTGAAAGGTGTTGCTTCAACGAAAAAAATACTGCACTAATCGGCGAACACTTTTGACCGCTACTGTAGGGCGCGTGATTCCAGAGTGAGCATCGTCCCATGTTTTGCTGAACCTCACTGAGTCCCCTGAGCTAAATAACCAATAAAAGGCTGGTTCCTAGGGGAGCAGGGTTTTGCGTGCTGGACCATAGATTAGTTCTAAAAACTCTTCTTTGAAAAATATATTTTATCAAAAAGAATAATAACTACATGCCAATAACAGTAACAAAGTGAACACAGAAAAATTGTCAGTAGTCACATTCAATCGATATATCGATCGGTGAGCAGGAGTAATGGCTCGAGCGACTCTAGACAAATCAAAATTGCACAGATGATGCTGACACAACCACTGGTCCACTCCGAGGATATGACGATGACCAGCCTGGAACGACTAATTTTATGATTATGGGCTACTTACACATACACCCCGATGGCAGCCCATATGGGATGACAGTAATCAGTCGCCTGCCAGTTGCTTGAATCACAATTTGATTGAATATTTTCGACATCAGTGGAATAAATATTCATTAATACTACTCTGAACGGTGGTCTACTGGAAGATTAGAAATGCTATGCTTCAGATGAGGTTTTCTGACAATGAGTCATACTAAGCTTTTGGTCAAGTTAATTTTCTTCTTCTTTTCAAAAAGCATTTGAAAGAAAAGAATACTAGAAGTAAATACAAATTCTATGAGTGGTAAGGTACGTGTTTTACTGAAACAAGAAGGGAAAAATGCTTATGATAAGGAATGTTGGTAATTTTGCCATTCAATTACCATTACAGTTCTTTTGATCAACATTCTGCTATGATACCCTTGCCCACTTCTATGTATTGTTCATCGCTGGAATTAGGGTACCCGACAGGAGGCCCGTCGCGCGGGAAGAAGGCAGAGCCAGCGGACCAGTCGCTGCGCGTGCTGTGCGATGTAGGACGTGCAATGGCACATTCTATTTAAC